CCGGTAGTGGAGCCCACATCAGTTACGTTTAGGTTCACAGTTAGCCTGGGAGAAGTTAGAAAGGGATTTTCCTTTAAAGTAAAGTAACAGTTAGTAGCCACCAGTTGCACAAAAGCCTGGAAGCATTTGTTTAACCTTTTGAAGACAAGAGAAGTTTCTGTTTGATTGTTCCTCAATAAAAGACTTTGTTACATTTCACAAGCCCTCTTAAGACTGTTTGTGGTGGAAAATTCCTAAGAGCTTCTCTTTGGGCTCCCTGGCTTCCCGCTGGGCAAAGGTTGCACGTCCTGTTCTAAAGGAAATTCTTTACAGGACCATCCGCAAAAAGTGAAAATCCGCAAAGTGGGGACACTATGTATGTATATCGCGTTCCAAGGGTGAGGCAGAAGTGAGGAGAGATTAAAGGCACCGCACACCTTTTTTTAACTAGCTATTTCTCTTTGCTTTTGCAATCTCTCTTGATTGGCTGCCCCCTTCCACATTTCATTGTTGCCAGGAAGCGGGATAAGAATATCGCTCTGGGCAATAGCAACCATTCATAAACTGGGAGGCAAAAACTGGTGAAACAGCGAGTCCGCAAAGTAGTGAGGGAACACTGTACTACTTTGCGTTTTGAATGCTTTTCCCTTTCCAAAACTACCCAACACCCCCAAAAGCCAAAGACGGCTCAGCACAACTGCCTCCTGGGCCTCAACCCCATTTCAGGAAACAGACCCATGGAATTAACCATTGGAAACCCACGCTCTCGGCCAGATTTTAATTAGCCACTTTGATGATGTGTTGTAAGTAGTGTAAAAATAGAAAAGAGTGCTCTAATTTTAACATCAATCCCACACAACAGGAAGAGGGCTGCTCGCAAGTTCAGCGCCAGCAGGAAACCAGGGAAAGAGGCGAGGCCAACAGCTATCGATTCCTGTGGGTTTGGACCCGAGAAAGGGGGCTCAAAATAACCTGGGCGTTTTTGAGACACGCATAGAAGGGGTCTGCAAAGCACAGCCTGCTCCGCCCATCCCAACACAAGTGCCGTACAGTTCTATGCTTTTCTGGCATATTTTCAATCCAAACCCCCTTCTCAAACACTTAAAGCATGGACGTTGCAAGGGGTGCAAAGAACTGCACCCCTTTCCCTTTTTGTTTTTCGAGATTGGCATTGGAATGTGGCAGTCTGGTGGCGTCTCCCTGGAAGTCTTTAAATAGAAGATGGATGGCCATCTGCTGAGAGGGCTTTGATGATGTCTTCCTGCCTGGAAGAGTGGGGTTGGATTGGATGGCCCTTGGGGTACCTTCCAACTGTATAATTCTAAGATAAAGCAGTTATTTATTTCGTATCAAGAGTGCGTGTGGCGGCAGAAGCGTAGCGGGTCAGTCCAAGCATGTCTAGTTTCCTTCTTTAGGAGCTATGATGTGGCAATAAAGGCTGCACAAAAAACATTCCTTTCAGCCAATATTGTGTCTGCTAAGGACCGTCCGGCTGAGCTGTTTAAAGTTGTCAGAGGACTATTAAATCCGTCTCAGAGTAAGATCCCTGACAACTTGTGCACCAGCTGCGCCCGTACCTTGGAAAGTCTGATCTGGCCACGGTGGTCCACGCTCTGGTTACATTCCAAATAGATTACTGCAACGCGCTCTACGTGGGGCTGCCTTTGAAGACGGTTTGGAAACTTCAGTTAGTTCAACGGGCGGCAGGCAGATTACTAACTGGGGCAGCATACAGGGAGCATAGTAAAGGTAGTCCCCTGACATTAAGTCCAGTCATGTCTGACTCTAGGGTGTGGTGCTCATCTCCATTTCTAAGCCAAAGAGCCAGCGTTGTCCGTAGACACCTCCAAGGTCATGTGGCCGGCATGACTGCATGGAGCGCCGTTACCTTCCCGCTGGAGCGGTACCTATTGATCTACTCACATTTGCATGTTTTCGAACTGCTAGGTTGACAGAAGCTAGGGCTGACAGTGGAAGCTCACGCCGCTCCCCGGAATCGAACCTGCGACCTTTCAATCAACAAGCTCAGCAGCTCAGTGCTTTAACCCACTGCGCCACCGGGGGCTCCCTCAGGGAGCATACCACCCCCGTTATGCCAGTTCCACTGGCTGCCGGTCCATCACCAAGCCCAATTTAAAGTGCTGGTTTTGAGCCTGCCTGCACAGGAATGCGCGCACCCACATCCATGCACACACAGAGGGAACCTGTAGCAAGCCAGGGCTGCCCTTTTGGCACGACACTTGGATTATAAATAAACCATTTTTCCTTCCAAGGCAGTTCGTAGGAATCCTGGCTGGAGCAGAATCCCGTTGGCCCAACCTCTGTTGAGAATGAAAGCTGCCTTGTTCCACTGACCGAACTCTCAGCAGCCTTTGCCAACAGTCATTCATTGGGCTTGTGCAAATCTCCACCGATCAGTAGTTAATCTAAACAGCTCCTGACTTCAATATACATCCGATCAATGAAGTAAAGTTTCCAAATACAGAAACCCATGACATCATGGCGCCTTCCCTCCTGCTGTGGTCTGGCCGCTTCTTGGAGCGATTCAGGGGAAGGCCCTCTGCCCTGGCACAGGAACGCTTTCTCATACTCACAGGAAACAATGGACTGACCGTTGCGGTCTGTGAAGCAGAAATGCAACTCCTGAATCAGGGAATGAGGTCAGAGGAGCTGGATGTTGTGATCCAAAGTCTGGCCTCCTGCACAAGGAAGGATTGCAGCTGAAAGCCATCTGCCAACCAAAAATACATTCCAGCCTTGCCTCGGAGGCAATGTTGTGGTTTCTGGCGGCCTATTTTTGGACACAAGGAAAAATTACACCACCCTGGCCTGAGTTAGAGAAGCGTCACATGACCCCAGGATAGGAAACTCTGAAGTCCAAGGGATGAAAACACTGGAGTGACTCCCCCTTCCTCGGAAGACTCATTCTCTAAGTCCTTTTGATTTCCTCCACCACAAACCTCAAGCAGGCACATCACGGAAGAGTGAGGCCGCCCACCAATGGTGACCTCAGCTTGGAAATATTTCCGAATGCTCCCTCACTCGGGCTCGGCTGCGAGTCTGAATTGTCCCAGTTCTGGAAGGAGAAAGGAGGCCGCCCAACGACAGGAACAGCACACATCTGCTCCACAGCCTGGACCCCGAACAACACTCCAAAGCTGGAAGAGGCCCCCTACCATCCCCTTTTGGACCCTCCAATCCAATCCAGGAAAGGCACAATCAAAGCACCCCTAGCAGATGGCCATCCCACCTCTGTTTAAAGGCCCCAAAAGAAGGAGCCCCTAGTGGACTCAGAGGCAGAGAGTTTCACTGTTGAACCACTTTTCTTACCAGGAAATTCTTCCGGATCTTCAGGTGGAATCTTCTTTCCTGCCATTGGAAGCCACGGCTCCACTGAGGACTATTCTCCAGGGCAGCAGGAAACAAGCACTCGCTTAGTCTTCATGGCTGCCAAGATGGAGCTGGCCTGACGCTCATAACAAGCCCTGAAAACAAGGAACCCCTGAGCATTTGTCTAGAGCAGTGTTTCTCAACCTTCCTAATGCTGCGACCCCTTAGTGCAGTTCCTTATGTTGTGGTGACCCCAACCATAAATTTATTTTCGTTGCTACTTCACAACTGTCATTTTGCTACTGTAAATATCCGATAAGCAGGATGTATTTTCATTTACTGGAGCAAATTGGGCACAAATACCCGATAAGTCCAAGTTTGAATACTGGATTGATGTTGTCATTTGGGAGTTGTAGTTGCTGGGATTTATAGTTCACCTACAATCAAAAAGCATTGTGAACTCCACCAGCAATGGAATTGAACCAACTTGGCACACAGAACTTCCACAACCAACAGGAAATACTGGAAGGGTTTGATGGGCATTGACCTTGAGTTTGGGAGTTGTAGTTCACCTACATCCACAGAGCACTCTGAAACCAGTCCACAATAGATCTGCACCAAACTTGGCACAAATCCTCATTATGCCCAAATGTGAACACTGGTAGTTTGGGGAAAATAGACCTTGACATTTGGGAGTTGTAGTTGCTGGGATTTATAGTTCACCTACAATCAAGAGCATTCTGAATTCCACCAGATGGAATTGAACCAAACTTGGGACACAGAACTCCCATGAGCAACAGAACATACTGGGGATGGTGGGTATTGATCTTGAGTTTTGGAGTTGTAGTTCACCTACATCAAACAATGATGGATCTAGACCAAACTTGGCACAAATCCTCAATATGCCCAAATGTGAACACTGGTGGAGTTTGGTGAAAATAGACCTCCATATGCCCAAATGTGAATACTGGTAGCATTTGGGGAGAATAGACCTTGACATTTGGGAGTTGTAGTTGCTGGGATTTATAGTTCACCTACAATCAAAGAGCATTCTGAACCCCACCAATGATAGAATTGGGCCAAAATTCCCACACTGAACCCCCCATGCCTTGCTGGCGCCTCCTTCCTGCCTTGCACACTCTCCCTCACTCCTACATACGCACCACACCTGCTCCCCCCTCCCCACTTGGAGTCTCAGAAACACCCCTCCCGTTGGCTGAGAGGCCGGCCAATCACAGCGGAGGAGGGCTTTTGGTGAGAGGATTTGCTGTATGTTTCCAAAAAGGACAAGAAAGATAGGCAGAGAGATCTTCAGCCTTCTCTGCCAAAGGGTTTCCCAAGTCCATCAGAAATACGTGTTTTCTGATGGTCTTTGGCGACCCCTCTGAAATCCCCTCGCAACTCCCGCAGGGGTCACAACCCCCAGGTTGAGAAACGCTGGTCTAGAAGAAAATGAAACCCATAGGAAGAAGGCACCCATTTGTGTGAAAGTGCATCAGTTGGAAGAAGATCTTAAGTTGACAGAAGGAACCCAAAAACCCCAGAGAATCTCCCCAATATCTGGCAGGATGGACCCACTTTGTTCCCACCAAGTGCTGAAGTGTCTGAACAGTGGACTTAGTAGCTTGCAAGGACCACCAGTAGGATTCCCCTCCACTTCCTCTCCGGAATGAATCAGGACAGAAGCGGGATCCTGGACTTAGTTCCATAGTTTATTCCACCTACATAGTCATTATGACGTTCTCATGAAAGTCTTTGGTTTGTTTGTTTTTGGAGACTGCAGGGAGATTCTCTCCGATGGTAAACTAGGCCGTTGAGAGGGGAGCTTCCTCTCAGCCTCTTGGGGGGGGGGAGCAGGAGCCTATGAAGAGGGGGTCTTCCTGGGCCAAGGCTTGCTTGCACCCCCCCTTGTGACACGGACTGAGGCTCAGAGGGCCCGATTCCCATGGCTGCGTCTTACCTGGACGAAGTCTGCTGCCTATTACCGCAGCGGCACATCCTGTGGCCCTTTGACCAGTAGAGGAGAGGGACGGGAAAAGGGGCTCAAGGGGTAGGGGAGATGCCCGGTGCCTTCGTCATGCCCCCACATTCATTCCAGAAGGAAGAAGAACATACAACAGCATATATATAGGAATCTCCGGTGGCACAATGGGCTAAACCCTTGTGCCGGCAGAACTGCTGACCGACAGGTCAGCGGTTCGAATCCAGGGAGAGTGGGTGAGCTTCCTCTGTCAGCTCCAGCCTTCCACAAGAAGCCTCCCATAAGGATGGTAAAACATAAACATCTGGGCAACGTCCCCTGGGCAACATCCTTGCAGACAGCCAATTATCTCACATCAGAAGCGACTTGCAGATTCTCAAGTCACTCCTGACACAAAAAAGGAAAACAAAACAATAATACAGCCTCCCATAAGAAGCCTCCCACAAGGATAGGAAATATCAAACATCCGGGCAACGTCCTTGCAGACGGGCAATTCTCTCACACCAGAAGTCACTTGCAGTTTCTCAAGTCGCTTCTGACACAAAAAACCCCAAAACAAAACAATAATACAGCCTCCCATAAGAAGCCTCCCACAAGGATAGTAAAACATCAAACATCCGGCAACGTCCCCCTGGGCAACATCCTTGCAGACTGCCAGTTCTCTCATATCAGAAGCGACCTGCAGTTTCTCAAGTCGCTCTTGTCACAAAAAAACAAACAAAACAAAACAATAATACAACCTCCCACAAGAAGCCTCCCAAAAGGATTTTAAAACATCAAACATCCAGCCAACGTCCCCTGGGCAACATTCTTGCAGGCGGGCAATTCTCTCACACCAGAAGTGACTTGCAGTTTCTTAAGTCACTCCTGACACAAAAAACCCCCCCAAAACAAAACAATAATACAGCCTCCCATAAGAAACTTCCCACAAGGATAGAAAAACATCATACATCTGGGCAACGTCCTTGCAGATGGCCAATTCTCACACAGCAGAAGCCACTTGCAGTTTCTCAAGTCGCTCCTGACACAAAAAAATTACAATAATATTGCACTTAAGTTTTTAAAAAACATCCTTTGCTATGGGACATTGGGGATAAGATCTCAGAGACAAAACCTATCCAGTCCAGCAGATATCAATAAATAAGACCAGGGACCTAGAGGGACCGTGTGGCCAATGGTCGGTCCATTCGTCTGCCAAAGCAAAGGCTAGATGCCGGTCAGTCTCTTTAATGAGCGTCTCTTTGGAAGGAAGACGCAGACCCACCCCCCTACGGAAGCCATCTTGGTCCCAATCCGCATCCATGCTCCAGGAGGGCCTTCCTTCTGTGCTGGTCACCTCCAGAATGATTTTGGGGCGACAGGAGAGAATACCCTTGAGTCTCACAGGGGTCTAGTGGTGTTAGTATCACTGACCCCATGGGAGTGAGAAAGCCGCTCTTGGGATGGCATTCCCCCCTGACATCTGACCCCTCCTCCTGCATGGAAGAAAGGGGCTCCCTCTATAATCCAGGCAAGGGTCCGGTCAAGGAGGGAGGAAGACCTGGATGAGTGTCATGCTCTCCAAAAGAGCCCCCACCCTACAGAATAGGACTGGGCTTCTTTGGCCGGACAAGGTCCAGGTACAGCTCAGAGCGCAGGAAACGCGGGTAGGGGTCCTTCTCCATCAGGCCGAAGATGCGCCCCTGAGCCAGGTCGAAGGCCCCCCGGGTGAGGGTCCGCATGTTCTCCTTGGTGTGCTCCCGGGTGTAAGAGTCCAGGTTGACCTGCAAAAGAGCGGAGCCACACAGGTGAACAAGCCAGACAGCTACCCTGCAGCATTGTGGGACAGACAGGTGGATGAATGGCCAGCCTAATGTGGGTGACGATTTAGGAGGGCAAGGAGGAGAAGGGTGTCCCATCGGATTGCAGAAGTGGTTGTTTCAGAGGATCCCTGAGTCATCAAACGGGCCCACAATTACAAATTAACTAGATATTTTTAATTACAAAAATGTGAATCAAGCACTTATTTATTTATTTATCGTGCCAGGAGCAAACCAAACGGTTGTATTGCATTTTTTAACAAACAAACAGACAAACAAAGCACAAAATTTGCAAGCTTGGTAGTTGATTACTAACACTGAGGCCTTCTAATACTGAGGCCTACTAACACACTGAGGCCCTTCTCCCACAGAAACCTCACTCAGACTGAGGGCTACTAAGCTACAGGCACACCTGTTCATATAGAACTGCAGCTTTTGCTGAGTCATTGCATCCATTTAACTCTTTCAGTGCTTGGTTGATAGTTGATCAGTGTGTGTTAGTAGGCCTCAGTATTAGAAGGCCTCAGTGTTACTTCACCTCAGTGGGAGAAAGGTGTCAGTGTGAGAGAGCCCTCAGTGGGAGAATGTCCTCCCACTGGCCCAGTTTACTTGTATGAACGTATCTCCTGCTACAATCCACCTAGGGCCCTAAGATCATCTGGGAGACCCTGCTCATTGTTCCCCCACTGTTGCAATCGTGTCTGGCGGGGACAAGGGACAGGGCATTTTCTGTGGCGGCCCCTCGGCTATGGAACTCCCTCCTGAGTGAAATTGGATATGCTGCATCCCTCCTGACTTTCCGGAAACAAGTAAAATCCTGGTTATGGGATCAGGCTTTTGTAGATTAGGCTGACTGGCTGACATGATGACTTATATAGAACTCACTGACTGCCTCTTGGATGTTGATTCAAATTGGTAACCACTGACGGCTTGACTGTTTTTATACTGTTTTATATTGTTTTGTACTGTTTTATACTGTTATTATTATACTACTGTTAAATTGTATATTTATGTTTTCCTGATGTGGGCGCCATGGGGTGCCGATTTGTTAGCCGTCCCGAGTCCCTCTTTGGAGGTGGAGATAGGACGGGATATAAAAGCCCAAAATAAATAAATGATAAATAAATAAAGTCCTCAGTGTGTTAGTAGGCATCAGTATGAGAAGGCCTCAATCGGAGTAAGGTCTCAGTCTGTGAGAAAGCTTCACAGTGTGAGGTAGGCCTTAGTCTGTGAGAGAAAGCCACTGTGTGAGGTAGGCCTTAGTCTATGAGAAAGCTGAGTGTGAGAAGGCCTGGTGTGAGAAGCTTCGGTGAAAGAAGCCCCGGGCTGAAGGCCTCATGTGTAAAGCTGTGTGTAAAGCTATTATGTGAAGCTCCTGTGTAATTTTGGGGTGAGAGGAGGCTGTTTATCTGCATGAGTCCTCAGTGTGTTAGTAGGCATCAGTATGAGAAGGCCTCGGTCGGAATAAGGTCTCAGTCTGTGAGAAGTAGTCTATGAAGAGGCCTGATGTGAGAAGCTTCGGTGAAAGGAAGCCCCAGGTTGAAGACTTCATGTGTGAAGCTCCTGTGTAACTCTGGTGTGAAAGGAGGCTCTGTGAGAGCGAAGCTGTTTATCTGCATGAGGAAGAAGCCCAGCATGGAAGCAAAGAAGGAAGTATAAAGGACTTCATTTGTGTTGTGGAAACATTGTTATTGTAAATAAGGTAAAGATAAATGTTTCCCTTGACATTAAGTCTAGTCGTGTCCGACTCTGGGGGGTGATACTCATCTCTATTTTTAAGCCGAAGAGCCGGAGTTGTCCGTAGACACCTCCAAGGTCATGTGGCTGCCATGACTGCATGGAGCGCCATTACCTTTCTGCAGAAGTGGTTCCCATTGATCTACTCACATTTGCATGTTTTTGACCTGTTAGGTTGGCAGAAGCTGAGGCTAAGAGCAGGAGCTCACCCTGTTCCCCAGATTTGAACCACCAACCTTTTGGTCAGCAAGTCCAGCAGCTCAGCAGTTTAACCTGCTGCACCACCAGGGGTGGGTGGGGGGAGGCTATTATTGTAAATAGTGCAACTATATTATTTTACCAAAAAAGTATCCTATGGAAGAGATAACATTGGTTTGTGTGTTTTTGTCCTTTTCATCTCTTCGGGCTACTGGTGCTGGGTCATGCTGCTGCTAATAAGTTACTCTACTGTACACTTAAGAGGGAGGTCTTTCACAGTGATATCCCCCCCCCCACACACACACACACTTTCTTGCCCATGGCCCCAGTCCAACACCCTCCCCGTACCCCCCTTCTCTTCCCACTCACTTCCTTGCAAGATTGGATGGCAATGTACTCGGCAAAAAGCTTCCTGGCCCTGGAGGCCATCTTGGATTGGGAACGGATCTTCTTGTATTCCTCGCAGGCCAGCCAGAACTCCAGGTTCTCCTCACTGAACTCAGTGCGCAGGAAGGCGCGGAAGGCGGCCAGGCCGTCTGGGAAGAGGAAGAAGAGTCTTTCAAGGCCAGCGTTCTTACTGGAGGTCAGCTGTGACCAATGATGGCACCATGGATTTGGAAGAGGGATGAATAGAGGGAGAAACATGCCCAGGGGAAGGAGGTGTTAGGGAAAACTACCCTAAAATATACAGCAGAGCATCCAAAAACAAACAGGATACAAAAGTTGAGTATCAGGATACAAAAGTTGAGTATCAGCTCATTTTTTAAATTTTAAACTATTACATTTGGCCCAGCCATAGGTTTTTAAATGCTTGTGTGTTACACAAGTATTTATGGTGCATTGTTTTTACTGTTTACTGTTATTGCTTTAATTGTTTTGATTTGCTTTATGGTTTATGTGTATTGTTGTATTATTCTTTTATTGAGGCATTGGCCTTGTAAGCCGCATGGAGTCCTACGGGAGATGTTAGCGGGGTACAAATAAAGTTAATAATAATAATAATAATAATAATAATACTGTTTATTTTTATGTGATTTATATTAATTGTATTGTATGGATTGCTTTTGTTATTGCTTTTGTTACTGATGTACTGTGGGCTTGGCCTCATGTAAGCTGCACCGAGTCCCTTGGGGAGATGGTAGCGGGGTATAAATAAAGTATTATTATTATTATTATTATTATTATTAGCAAGCAGAGTGTGAAGTACCGTATGTTGTGGCTGGAAAGAATTCAGAGCTTAGGAGCTAAACATGCAGAGTCCAATCTTAAAAAGTCAAAGAAGGTTTAATGAGTCACAAAAGGCCCTGCTCTCGCTCCTGCCCCCTTCGCAGGCGTGATTGGTGGGGACGAGGGAGAGGGCCTTCTCTATGGTGGCCCCCCGACTTTGGAACTCACTTCCCAAGGATATCAGGCAAACTCCCACATTGGCAGTCTTTAGGAAGAGCCTGAAAACGTGGCTGTTCCTGAATAAAGCAAACAATTCCCTGCAAAATGTCCTCAGAAGCACTTTAACTACCCGATGGGTTGCCCTCATTACGTTTCTTTTAAAACCCTCCTACTTAGATACATCCTACCTCTGTTCATGCCCAGCGTTTATTTTTTTAAAATTTTTAATTATTACATCTGGCCAGGCCATAGGTTTTTAAATTTTTAAATTTTTGAGTGTTATTGTCTATATGTGAGTTATATTAATTATATTGTTTTATTTGCGTATTGCTTTGTTGTTTACTGATGTGTTGTCGGGCTTGACCTCATGTAAGCTGCCCCGAGTCCCCTTGGGGAGATGGTGGCGGGGTATAAATAAAGTTTTTATTATTATTATTATTATTATTATTATTGACACAAAAGAACAGTATATCACAGCAAACGAGATCTATATGCTGGATTTCGTATCACAAAATCACAAGTCGAACACTTCCCAAGCATCTAGGACTATGTGATGTAATTATTATTATTATTATTATTTACAATAATAAGAAATTATTAATAGGTAAAGAACCGGGTCTGAGCTACTCTAACACCCATCTCTTGCAAGGTTTCAAGAGAGGGGAAAACTCAATGTCTACATCTCTCTTGACACACAAGCAGAGAGAGATCTCAAAGCACACAGCACATACTCTCCATACTAAAGTGTCAAAATTATAATAAATAATAATAAACTTTATTTGTACCCCGCTACCATCTCCCCAAGGGACTCGGTGTGGCTTACATGAGGCCAAGCCCAAAGTACATCAAACAAAACATCAATAAACACAACATCAATAAACAATCAATAAAATACAAATCATATAAATCACATAAACAAAAAAAACAATCAATAGTGACATAAACTGGGAAAGCCCCTCCCCCCCAAAAAGTCCCGCCCCCTCCTCTTGCCGGTCAAAGCAGAGGGCACCAAGATGGCGGTCCTGGGGCTGAGTACTGATCCACTCCTGGCACCTTTCTTCCCTGCCTCCAAGGCTATGAAGAGAGAATGGGGTGAGGGAGAGAGGTGCTATGGGTGAGGTGCATTCAGGAAGGGGGTCAAGAAGTGGGGTACTGATGCTCACACTGATGTTGCAGCAGCTTCTCCAGGGACTCCCCCCAGGCCAGGGCTTCTTCTGGACTTGGCCTGAGGGAAGGAGAAAAGAGATTCAGAGGGGGAAGGGAGGGTCAATGTCTGCCATTAGCCAACCCTTAAAGCAAATGTGTCAAAAGCTATATCAATTCGTGTGGCCCTCGAGATGCTGGATTCCCAACTCGTGCATTCCTCCTCATTAGACATTATGAACTAATGAACTATGAACATTATAAACATTATGAACACTAGAACTGATGGGAGTTGGGGTCTCTGAAATCTGTTTGTTTTGGGCCACAGTGGCACAATGAGTTAAACCATTGAGCTGCTGAACTTGCTGACCTGAAGGTTGGCAGTTCGAATCGGTGGTACAGGGCGGGCTCCTGCCAACCTAGCAGTTCGAAAACATGCAAATGTGAATAGATCAATGGGTACTGCCTCGGCGGGAAGGCAAATAGGCGCTGCAAGCAGTCATGCAGGCCACATGACCAGGAGGTGTCTACAAACAACGCAGGCTCCTCAACTTGGAAATGGAGATAAGCACTTGCCCCAGAGCTGGAGTTGAGAACCGTCTCCAGAAGCCGGAGATGAAAGGGGAAGCCTTTGCCTTTGTCTTTGAATGTCTGTCTCATTGTATCAAGGAACTGAATGTTAGTCTGTATTTGTGTTTATATATATGCTGTAATCTGCTCTGAGTCCCCTTGAGGAGAGAGGGCAGAATATAAATAAAGTGCTATTATTATTCTATTGTTGGGGAACTGCATTTGGCTTGGGATGTAAGGCTTGTGGATAGGATTTTTTTTTTTTTTTTGGTCATGTGAGGAGTGACTTGAGAAAGCACAACAACAACAATCCTATCTCATCAGCCAAAAGCAGGCCCACACTTCCCATTGAAATACTAATAAGTTTATATTTGTTAAAATTGTTCTTCATTTTAATTATTGTATTGTTTTAAGGTGTTTTTGCACTACAAATAAGATATGTGCAGTGTGCATAGGAATTCATTCATTTTTTTCCCCAAATTATAATCTGGCCCATGCTGCAGATACAATAATATCTGCACCATGTTGCAGATACAATAATAACAACAACAATATTTTTTTAAAAAAATTAAATAAATAATTTGGCCCTCCAACAGATTGAAGGACTGTGACCTGGTCGGTTCACTGATGATTTAGAGAAGATTGTGGGATTTCCTGGGGCACAAAGTGATGTAGATTATAGTCAGGAGAATGATGGTTCTTTCTGTGAGTGCAGGACTTCAAGGTATCAGAGGATCCAGAAACAGCAACATTAGATAAGAAGTTGGGTGAAGAGCTAAGTGATACAGAAGGCTCCCAGGGGGGAAAAAACCATCTGGAGCTACAGAGATCAACAAAGATCTTTGTTTACATATCAGAGCAGAAAACAGGCATTGTAGGTCAGAGCAACTACGTGGGAAAGATGTGGAGAAAATTCATGGGAAACAGAATGCTTTCATGGATGTCTATTAAATAGCCAGTTGTTTACTTAAGGGTTAGTTCAGGCAACATAGCATTCACATCGGTAGCTCGGCCTGAGTTCTATTATTCTTGTTCCGAGTCAAGCCTTGGATTTGGATTCTAGTATTCTGGAAGTTTCTATGTTCCTGTTTCTTGTATTCATGTTCAAGTTTTTACTAAGTATAACTTTTGCTTATGGACTTAAGCTGTTTTTGTGATTTTGGGCTATTCCTGGACTGTGTTACCTTTGAATCTGTAGGGGACTGTTGGATTCCTGTTGGATTATCACTTATTGCTAAACCTAATTTGGATCATACATCTTTTTCTTTATTCCTGATTTTTGCTATATTTTTAAGTGCTTGTACAATAAACTGCTTGCTTATATTCTGGAGTGCAACACTTGGGGCCATCCGTGGATAAGAGAATTACAGTCCTGCCTTAAAAGTTGCAGAAGAACTCTTATGGTCCTCATGCCTCCTGGTTTGGAAGTCCAAGAAGCCCCCTCCCCAAAAAGAGACCCAGCTCCCCCCTCCCCAAATCACTCACCGAAGGGCCTTCGCTCCTTTCTCCACTAACCTTCCTCCGGGAGACTCATTTCGACGCCGGAAGAGGCCCAGGCGCTGCTTCACATCCTTGGCTCTGTGGAGGGAGAAAGGCACAAAAGGAAAACAGGCGTTAGGAGGAATCGGGGCTCTGGGATGCCCCTGAACATGTGCAGAGCGCAGCACCCCATCTCCCTATACACACACACACACACACACACACATATATGGTTTATTTATTTATTTACAACATTTATATGCCACCCTTCTCACCCCGAAGGGGACTCAGAGCGGTTTACAAGATATACTGTATATACTCAAGTATAAGCCTAGTTTTTCAGCCCCCTTTTTAGGCTGAAAAATTTCCTCTCGGTTTATACTCGGGTCAAGGTTATTTATGATTTTACTCTGTTATTAGTATTATTTTTATTACATTTATTATTTTACTCTATTTATTATGATTATTGTTATTACATTTTCATTATTTTACTGTACTATTATTTTATTACATTTATTATTTTACTCTATTATTATATTTATTATTTTACTCTAGTATTACATTTATTATTTTACTCTATTATTATGGTTACATTTATTATTTTACCCTCTTTATTATTATTGGAAGTATACGTAAGCACATTTACAATGAAGAAGGTTAGAATAATGGTTTAATCAGAGTTCGACAGTCTTATCTTAAATTACAGTTTTATGTAAATATTCAAAAACATTTAACCTACGAATGATTACCAGTAGCAGCTGCATTTCTCACCCTCGGCTTATACTCAAATCAATAAGTTTTCCCAGTTTTTTGTGGTAAAATTAGGTGCCTCGGCTTATATTTGGGTCGGCTTATACTCGAGTATATACGGTATATACCGTATATACTCGAGTATAAGCCGACTCGAATATAAGCCGAGGCACCTAATTTTACCACAAAAAACGGAGAAAACGGATTGACTCGAAGATAAGCCGAGGGTCGAAAATGCAGCAGCTACTGGTAAATTGCAAAATAAAAATAGATACCAATTAAATCACATTAATTGAGGAATCAGTAGGTTATATATTTACAAAATGGTAATTTAAGATAAGACTGTCCAACTCTGATTAAATTATTATTTACCTTCTTCAATGTAAATGTTACATATCCTTCCAATTTTTTTTATTTTTTTTTCATTTTTTTATTGATTTATCACTTTATTACATACTATTACATTTTGTACATCAACCTCTTTAACATGTTATTTTATTTTTTTACTTAACAGTCCAACTCTGATTAAATGATTATTTACCTTCTTCAATGTAAATGTGCTTACGTATCCTTCCAATAATAATAAAGAGAGCAACATAACAAATGTAATAATAATAATAAAAAGAGTAAAATAATGAATGTAGCAATAACAATTATACAGTAAAATAATAAATGTATAATAATAGAGTAAAATGATAAATGTAATAATAATAATAAATAAAATAACGAATGAAAATAATAATAATAATAATAATAATAATAATAATAATAACAACAGAGTAAAATAATAAATAATCTTGACTCAAGTATAAGCCGAGGGGGACTTTTTCAGCCTAAAAAAAGGGCAGAAAAACTAGGCTTATACTCGAGTATATACAGTACTTGGTAATAACTCTTTCATGGCCGGTATCACTGGGTTGTTGTAGGTTTTTCCGGGCTATATGGCCATGTTCTAGAGGCATTTTCCCCTGACATTTTGCCTGCATCTATGGCAAGCATCCTCGAAATGTCAGGAGAAAAGAAATGTCAGGAGAACATGGCCATATAGCCCGAAAAAACCTACAACAACCCAGTGATTCTGGCCATGAAAGCCTTCGACAATACATTATTATTATAATTATTCTCCAGTTGGAACAAATGCTGATGTAGTCAGTAGTTTAGTAATAATATAATATATATATAATATCATGTATCTATATAAATAAAAACGTAATGTTTATTTGTGGGATTAACATAACTCAAAAACCACTGGACGAAATGACAGTTTGGACACAATACACCTAACAACCCAATGTATGTCCTTCACTCAAAAAACTGATTTTGTCATTTGGGAGTTGTAGTTGCTGGGATTTATAGTTCCACCCACAATCAAAGAGCATTCTAATCCACCAATGATGGAACTGAACCAATCTTGGGACACAGAACTCCCATGATCAACGGAAAACACTAGAAGGGTTTCGTGGGTATTTACCTTGAGTTTGGGATTTGTAGTTCACCTACATCCAGAGAGCACTTTAGACTCAAACAATGATGGATCTGGACCAAACTTGGAACGAATATTCCATATGCCCAACTATGAACACAGATGGAGTTTGGGGGAAATAGACCTTGACATTTGGAAGTTGTAGTTGCTGGAATTTATAGTTCACCTACTATCAAAGAGCATTCCGAACCCCACCAACTACAGAATCGGGGCAAACTTCCCATACAGAACCCCATGACTAACAAAACATACTTAAGGCCATCCAGTCCAACTCCCTTCACCAGGGCAAGAAAACGTAATCAAAGCCCTCCTGACAAAGAGCCATCCAGCCATAGATATAGATCGATATATATGATTCACACACACAGAGATATAGTCTCATAGATTTGAAATGGACCCCTAAAGAAGGACAATGATATGTTGCCTGTTCCAGAGGAGGCAAACCAGACAATCTCCACATCAACACTGACAAAGAAACAACAAGAAATACTACTAAGAAATTACATACATCAAAAACCAACACTTTCTAATTACTTTATTTTCCAGATCACCAGACTGGGCCACAGAAACGCGGGGCAGGGGATGGCTAGTATACAATATATTATATTACATTATAGCATCTGTTGAATATCATTGGAGAGCCTGTTGTTCTGGTCACAAACTCCCTCCAACTTTTTCCTTTTTCCTTGTTGTTCCTCCATCTCTGCAGTCCAGACTTGCTGTTATGACAAAATGAACCTCCCCGTTCCCTTTAGGACCTACTCTTTGGTGGAGTGGCGCCGCCGGAGGCCCCCTCCCATCATCACTGCAGGCTCCGGGACCCAAGGCTGGCCCCCGAAGAGAGGCATGGCGAGAGGAAGCGGGGAAAAACCCCCTTTGCCTGGCTTCCCCRCTGCTGCTGCCACCGCCTTCTGGCTCCCTTCTGGAGCAGGAGGAGGAGAGCAGAGGCAGAGAGGGGCCCTGGCTGCCCCCTGGTGGAGGCAGCACTGACCAGCCCCCCCCCCCGCCCCTCCCCATGGGGCTGGGAAACACTCTGCACATGCTCAGGGGCACAACAGCCAAAGGGAATCCTGGCCTGGCACTCCGCATCTCCGTACACACCGTCCACAAGTTACAAACATCATGACCAACTTTGCCAATTGGTGAGGTTTGGGGGCAATGACAGAGGACGATGGGAGCTATAGTTCACCCACAATCGAAGGGGACTCTGAACCAAACACATGATGGATCTGTCCTTCTGCACAAAGGAATTTGGGGCACTGGGATTGTGGCGCAGCTGGCTGGGTGTCAGCTGCATTAAGATCACTCTGACCAAAAGGTCATGAGTTCGAAGCCAGCCCGGGTTGGAGTGGGTTTCCAACCAATTGTGTGTAGCCTGTTGTCGACCTTTGCAACTCGAAAGACAGTTGCATCTGTCAAGTAGGAAAATAAGGTACCCAGTGTGAGGTACGCCTTAGTCTGTAGGAGAAGGCCTCAGTGTGAGGTAGGCCTTAATCTGTGAGAGAAGGCCTCACAGTGTGGGGTAGTCTGAGAGAAGCCTCTGTGAGAGAACGCCTCAGGGGGAGAATAGGTCTCAGTGTTAGTAAGCCTCAGAGTGTGAGGTAGGCCTAGGTATCAAAAGGCCTTGTATTTGAAGCTCCAGTGTGAAGGTTGAACGTTATTTATGTCACCGAAATCTTGTTCTTGTAAATAGTGCAACTGAGAGAAGCCTCTGTGAGAGAACGCCTCAGGGGGCGAATAGGTCTCAGTGTTAGTAAGCCTCAGAGTGTGAGGTAGGCCTAGGTATCAAAAGGCCTTGTATTTGAAGCTCCAGTGTGAAGGTTGAACATTATTTATGTCACAAAAATCTTGTTCTTGTAAATAGTGCAACTATATTATTTTGCTATGGAAGAGATAACATTGGTTTGTGTGTTTTTGTTCTTTTTATCACTTTGGGCTCCTGGTGCTGGGTCACGCTGCTGCTGATAAGTTATTCTGCTGTGCACTTATGAGGAGGGCTTTTGTTAATAAGCCTACTCACGCAATAAAGAGCCATAAAATATGAAACACAAGACACCCATCTCATCCACTCAGCCAGGGGGACACACTTCCTTAGCTGCCATGCCCAGCCTTTTGTAGATTTCTGAGCATGTGCAGACTGCTTTCTCCTCAGCACACCAGGCTTGAGCACCTCCCTAGAACAAGCGACACCAGTGGAATGCCTCTGAGCCCGTGCAAAGTTCAACTCACAGACTCCGGCGCCTCTTCTGGTGGGCCCCAAAGTCGCAGCCACAGTCGGGATCCAACAGGTGAAGCTGCTGTTGCGAGGGCTGCAGAGACAAACAAAATGCAGCTCAGGGGGGTTGCGGCGGACTTGCTCCTTTCCCCCACCCTCCGGCGCATACCCCGTTCCCCACCTTCCGGTTGCCCACGAAGAGCAGGGTCAGCTGGTGGATGGAGCCCCCGCCGTCTTTGGCCAGCTGCCTCCTCAGGGCCTTTGGGGAGGGCAGGGTCCAACTGGTGGGGGCCCCTTGCACATCAGAGGCGGCAAAGTTGAGGCTGGTGTCGGAGGGGAAGGCGTGCGGGCCCCGGGGCTCCTGGAGGAGGCTGCCTTCGCTGTGCGTGCGCCGGCGCAGGGAGGGCCTCAGGGGAGAGAGGGAGGGCCTGCAGGGCTCCCCCTCGCCCAGGTTCAGGTAGGCTGCCCCATTTGCCTCTTCGTCTTCCTCCTCCTCTTCCTCTTCTTCATCTTCCTCTTCTGCCACTCTGTTGGGGTCTTGGCTGAAGGTGCCATCCAGCTGCAAGGAGGGGATAGGGAAGGGGCAATGGCCCTTGCAGGGGGACTCCGCCAGCCCCTCTCCCTCTCCTTCAGGGACACTCTGGGCCTCCGGCATCCTCTCCTCCTCCTCCCCTGTCACAGGGTGGGCCACATGCTCAGTCCCTCCATCCGTCCCAGAAGGAGGCCCTTGCTTCTCAGCCTCCGGCTCAAGCATCTGGAAGGAGAAAGAGAGGGGGGGGGAGGAGGAAGAAGGGAGGGGCTCAGCTGGGGAGGGGGGCTCGTCACTGTACCCTCAGGAAAAGGCTGCAAACAATGTGCCTTGTCCCAGGGGCCTTTTCCTCCTCGCCTGGCATCACGACTCTGCCGGAATTGCAGCTGCCTCCCGGATGGATATGGGTGCGGCCAGCGCCTGTCCTGCCCTCTGCCCACGAGCCACCAGCGTCCCTTGCTTTTGCAGTAATGCAATCAAACCTCTTCCCCTTCCTTTGCTTCTACCCTGACTGGACTCCGACAAACCAATGGTCCTCCTTGGGGCACCAGAGGAGGAGGGCAGCACTGAGCAGCCAGGAAGCCTGGGCCTTGGGAGTCACGGTCCTTGTCCCTTGGGTCACCAGAACCCAGGGATGCTTTGCCTAGTCTGCCCTGGAGTCCATGCCACAGGTGGTGGTGGGGCATTGTGCTAAGATAGGAGGCGCTACTTTGCACAGTGGCCAGAACAGCAGAGAACCACTCCTGTCAGAAATATTACAAATTAGCTAGCTATTTTTAATTACAAAAATGTGAGTCAAGCACTGAAAGGGTGAAATGGATGCAATGACTCAGCAAAAACTGCAGTGTTCGTTGCCTTCAGTCTGAGAGAGGCCTCAGTCTGAGAAAGGCTTCAGTCTCAGAGAGGCCTCAGTGTGAGGTAAACTTCATAGTTAGTAGGCCTGAATGTGTGAGAAGCCTTATGTGAGAAAGCCTGGTGAGCGAAGGCTTCGGAGAGAAGGTGTGAAGCTCCAGTGTGAAGGCTGCTATGTGTAAAAAGCTACTGTGTGAAGCTCCTGTTAAGTTCGGTGTGAGAGGAAGCTCAGTGAGAGTGAAGCTGTTTATCTGCATGAGAAAGAAGCCCAGCGTGGAAGCAAAGAAGGGAGTGTAAAGAACTTTATTTGTGTTATGGAAATCTTGTTCTTGTAAATAGTGCAAACATTGGTTTGTGTCTGAGGGTGATTGCCACAGATGCAGGCAAAACGTCAGGAGAGAATGCTTCTAGAACTTGGTCTATGTGTTTGTGTTCTTTTTATCACTTGTGGATACTGGTGCTGGGTCACGCTGCTGCTAAGTTACTCTGCTATATGTTCATGCGGAAGGTCTTTTGTTAATAAGCCCCTATGCCCAACAACTCCTTGGTCCTGTCCGGGCTCCTGGGCCCTCAATTCAGCACAAATAAAGCCTTGCCTCCCTTGGCAGTTATGCGGAGGACACTCCACCTGTTGACTGGATGGGCAAGAGAAACCAGAGCTGCATCCCCGGGATGCAGGAAGTAGAGGTGTCCCCCCAAACCACCCCCTGAACCCCGAGGAACAAACATGGAAGCTGCTCAGTTCCCAGTGGTCAGATCTTTGGCTTTCCTTCTGGGGCACCTGTTCAGCCGCTGGGACACCAGTGAGGCTCAGTCAGGGGCCATTTGGAGCCAGTACCCGCCCCTTCCAAAGCCCCCGCGTCTTGGGGTTGGGCCGGGCGTCCCATGGAGTCTCCCCCAACTCTGAGATTCTATGATCTCCAGGGGGACTTCCATCCCCCATCCACTCAAGGCCTACTCCTTGCCGACTGCCCACTCTGTAGTCCCACTTCGCCTCTCTTCCATACACTGGAAGAAGGCGCCCCTATAGCAAGTAGGACCACTTCTCATCATTAGGCCTTGGAAGAGATGGTTGATTGCCAATATCCCCCAATAAAACAGGGCACCCAAAGTATCCCCATAGAGCCAAACCTGCCTTTCCTGGCTCCACTGTGCACACCATTAACCCCCTCTGCCTCTGCCTTCTGTGGCTGATCCCAAAGGAAAGCTTGCCACCTGTAACCCTAGCTCATGAGGGACGACAGTACAGACTGGAAAGGGCAATGTTGCCTTACCTTGGTCTCGGCTGGAGGGGCTGTGGGCACCGTTGCTGGTGCAAAGAGCTGTTCGTGATGCTGCTGCTGCTGCCGGGCGGCGTTCTGGGCGAGGCACCAGCAGACTCTCTTCTTTTGCTCCTGGGAGTGAGCCTCCAGGCTCAGCACACACTCCAGCTTCTAATAGGGAGGGAAAGAGAAGGAAAGATCACCTCTGCAGCCTCTCAGCAAAAGGCCCTGCATTTGTCCTTTGTGGCAGCCCTCAAAAGCCAGTCAAACTTGTACCCTCAAAGGCCGGTCAACTCTGGACCCTTAAAGGCCGGTCAACTCTGGACCCTCAAAGGTCGATCAACCCTGGACCCCCAAAGGCCGGTCAACTCTGGACCCTCAAAAGCCGGTCAACTCTGGACCCTCAAAGGCTGTTCAACTCTTGACCCTCAAAAGCTGGTCAACTCTGGACATTCAAAGGTCGGTCAGCTCTAGACCCTCAAAGGCTGGTCAACCCTAGACCCTCAGGTTGGTCAACTCTGGATCCTCAAAGGTCGTTCAACCCTGGACCCTCAAAGATCGATCAACCCTGGACCCTCAAAGGCCATTCAACCCTGGACCCTCAAAGGTTGGTCAACCCTAGACCCTCAGGCCGGTCAACTCTTTATCATCAATGGCCGTTCAACCCTGGACCCTCAAAAGCCGGTCAACTCTGGACCCTCAAAGACCGGTCAACTCTGGACCCTCAAAGGCTCGTCAACCCTGGACCCTCAAAGGCCGATCAACTCTGGACCCTCAAAGGTTGGTCAACTCTGGACCCTCAAAGGCTGGTCAACTCTGGACCCTCAAAGGTTGGTCAACCCTAGACCCTCAGGCCGTTCAACTCTGGATCATCAATGGCCGTTCAACCCTGGACCCTCAAAAGCCGGTCAACCCTGGACCCTCAAAGGCCGATCAACTCTGGACCCCCAAAGGTTGGTCAACTCTGGACCCTCAAAGGCTGGTCAACTCTGGACCCTCAAAGGTCGATCAACCCTGGACCCTGAAAGGCTGGTCAACCCTGGATGCCGAAGTTGGGAAAAATGCCAACATATACCTCGATTTGTTGTCTGTCCTGTCTGTTTAACAGCATTGAATGTTCGCCATGTATGTGTCCTGCGATCTGCCCTGAGCCCCCTTAGAGGTGAGAAGGGCAGAACATAACTGCTGTAAATCATAGAATCCTACAGTTGGAAGAGACCTCATGGGCCATCCAGTCCAACCCCATTCTGCCAAGAAGCAGGAAAATCACCTTCAAAGCACCCCCGACAGATGGCCATGCAGCCTGTTTAAAATCCTCCAAAGAAGGAGTCTCCACCACACTCTGGGGCAGAGAGTTCCACTGCTGAACAGCTATCACAGTCAGGAAGCTCTTCCTCATGTTTAGATGGAATCTCTTTTCTTGTAGTTGGAAGCCATTGTTCCACGTCCTAGTCTCCAGGGCAGCAGAAAACAAGTTGTTCCCTCCTCTCTATGACTTCCCCTCACATATTGATACATATTGATATCATGTCTCCTCTCAACCTTCTCTTCTTCAGGCTAAACATGGCCAGCTCTTTAAGCCACTCCTCCTAGGGCTTGTTCTCCAGACTCTGGATCATTTTAGCCCTCCTCTGGACACATTCCAGCTTGTCGACATCTCCCTTCAATTGTGGTGCCCAGAATTGAACACGGTGTGATTCCAGGTGTGGTCTAACCAAGGCAGAATACAGCATGGGTAGCAGAAATGTAGTGTGGGAGGGTGGGACAAAGCAGAAGGGCTACAGCTTGAGCTCACACACCATTTGCGGCATTGCCAGCCCCAACAATCCCCAAAGGTCTCCGGAAAGGCTCTCTCTCCTCCATCAAGCCATCCAGCTGCAGCTCATCTCCTAATCCCTGGGCCTTTGCTGCAGCTAATGGAATTAACGGCTCGCCTCAATTCGATTAGGCTGAAGCGACAGCCACACCGGGCAAACAGGGTATGTGTACGTCTCCTGCAGCGGTCCACAGCTTCCCCCTCATTCCCTCTCCAAGACTCAGGGTTCCCCAGATCAGAGGAAACTGATAGGATTTAAGGGCTATCCCCACTTTGCAGGGTCTCCTTCTGTCTTGGCTGTTCCAGGCTCAAGCCTGCCCTCTGCTGGTGCACAGGCCTCAGTGCGGCAGAGCCATCCGTTAGGGAAGGGTTTCTCAACCTTCCGAATGCCGGACCCCTTAAAACAGTTCCTCAGGTTGTGGTGACTCCCAACCATAACATTATTTTCATTGCTGCTTCATAACTAATGCTGCTACAGTTATTCATAGTAAATATCTGATATGCAGGATATATTTTCATTCACTGGACCAAATTTGGCACAAATACCCGATACGCCCACATTTGAATACTGGTGGGTTTGAGGGGGATTGATTTTGCCATTTGGGAGTTGCAGTTGCTGGGATTTATAGTTCACCTACAATCAAAGAGCATTCTGAACTCCACCAATGATGGAATTGAGCCTCACATGCATACCATGCTGCCATGCACCATAGAATCATAGAATCAAAGAGTTGGAAGAGACCTCATGGGCCATCCAGTCCAACCCCCTGACAAGAAGTAGGAATATTGCATTCAAATCACCCCTGACAGATGGCCATCCAGGATCTGTTTAAAAGCTTCCAAAGAAGGAGCCTCTACCACCGAGCATGCCTGATCTCCCTTCCCTGCTTTGAGTCCCAAAACTCACACAGAACTCCCATGACCAACAGTAAATACTGGAAGGGTTTGGTGGGCACTGACTTTGAGTTTTGGAGTTGTAGTTCACCTACACTCAGAGAGCACTGAGGACTCAAACAATGATAGATCTGGACCAAACTTGGCACAAATTCTCAATATGCTCAAATGTGAACACTGGTGAAGTTTGGGGAAAACAGACCTTGACATTTGGGATTTATAGTTCACCTACAATCAGAGAGCATTCTAAACTGCACCAACGATGGAATTGAACTCCACATTCGTACAATGCTGCCATGCACCGAGAACGCCTGCTCTCCCCTCCCCACTTGGAGTCCCAAACCTCACACAGAACTCCCATGACCAACAGAAAATACTGGAAGAGTTTGGTGGGCATTGACCTTGAGTTTTGGAGTTGTAGTTTACCTCCATCCAGAGAGCACTGTGGACTAAAACAATGATGGCACTGTTGGCACAAATTCTCAATATGCCAACACTGGTGGAGTTTGGGGAAAATAGACCTTGACATTTGGGAGTTGTAGTTGCTGGGATTTATAGTTCAGCTACAATGAAAGATCATTCTGAACCCCACCAAGGATAGAATTGGGCCAAACCTCCCACACAGAACCCCCATGCGTTGAAGGGACTTGGTGGTGTGAGCCTCCAACCAGCCTCGCCTGCTCTCCCTTGCATGTGCATACCCACCACACTGCAATGCGCCGAGCACGCCTGCTCTCCCCTTCCTGCTTGGAGTCTCAGAAAAAGCCCTCCCCTTGGCTGAGAGGCCGGCCAATCACAGCAGAGGAGGGCTTTTGGTGGGAGGATTCGCTGTCTGTTTCCAAAGAGGAAGAGAAGGGCAGGCAGAGAGATCTTCAGACGTCTCCACCAAAGGGGTTCCTAAGACCATCAGGAATGTATGTTTTCTGATGGTATTTGGCGACCCCTCCCCCCAGAGTCCCGACCCCCAGGTTGAGAAACGCTGTCTTAGTGGAAAGGGCTCTAGGCAGACACCCCCCCCCCCTCTGAGAACTCCATCAGCACTCACCTCTGCCAGGTAGAGGATGCAGAACTTCAGGTCTTCTGAGGATTCTGCAAGGGAAGCCCAGATGCAGAACACTGACTCCAAAGGGCACTTCACARAGAAAGGGGGTTCTGCTTTGGCTGGCTTCCTCTCTGGGGAAAGGATGCCTGGCCCCTGCTCTCCTCGGCCCTYCACCCACACTCCAAGAAAGGCCCAGGAGCCTATGAGCGCCCCATACGATGCTCTGATTGGTTGCGACTGACTGGGGAAGCCTCTTCTCTCCCTACCCCGCTATCCCTGGGGCAGCCGTGGTGTCTCACCCTCCTGCAGCCGGACATCCCGCAGGTAGAGGGGGTTCCGGAGGACGTGGCACCGGCCGGGCTCCTCCTCCTGGGTGAAGAGCAGCAGGTCCGAGTAGACAAAGAGGGTCACCTACAGAGATCGAAGAGGGCAAGTTGGAGAAGGCTGAGAGAGACCTCAATCGGCGGAAAAGATGGCTGGAGGGCAGAGTGCCCACCTCCAAGGGGTTGGCTGGCATTTTGAGCACTTTGAGGCACAGAGGGGGTCCTTGAGATGCACAGACCCTCAAAAGGACCTCCCCACAAAAGTCTCAGATCTTACAATGCCTACAGCATTCCAGAGAGACCTTCTATTTTGTTGCCTCAAGGCCTTCCTTTGGTTAGATAAGGAACCCTAAGAGAATATTTAATTGTTTTTTTTTTTTTAATTGAATTTGCTTTGTCTTAAATTGTCATTCCACTTGTGAGCTTTCCTGTGGCACAAAGGGATGGGTTCTCCAGTCTGGGAAATTCAAGTTTGAGAAAACTGGCTCGGAAAGTGCAGGCCCTCAAGGGGGAGTCAGAAGTAGCAACAGCATATAAGGAATCGAGTCAAGAGCTGAGTGATAAGGAGGGTTCCCATGGGAATCCAAAAGTCTTTGTTTACAAATTAGAGCTAAAAATAGATTGGGTCATTCAGAGAGATTACGTGGGAAAGTTGTGAAGAAAATTCACAGGATGATTTCACGGGTGTCTATTAAACAAGTTGTTTAAAGTCAGTTCAGGCAACACTGCGTTAGAGTGAGACGCTAAGCCTGAGTTCTCTTGCTCCCGGTTCAAGTCAAACTATGGTTTTGCATTTACTATTCTGGAAGTTTTCTACGTTCCTGTTCAAGTTTTACTAGTTAACCTTCTTGATTGTGGACGTATACTCTATCTGTGATTTCTGGTTGTTCCTGGATTTTTTCACCTCTGGAACTTTATGAAGCATTTGGATCATTGCTTGGTTATCACCTGTTGCTAGACCTTTTTTTGGATTACATCTCTTCCTTTCTTATTGCTGACTTATAATATGCTTTTTACATGTTTTTACAATAAAGTGTTTTTTATATATATACCTGGACTGTTGTGTGGTTTGGTGGTCATAGGTGTTTCCAGGCCTGGAGTGTAACAGGTCAGGCCCACTCCCTGAATGGAGAAAGTCCACCAGGGAGGAAGAGAGGAGATTGCCTTTGCATAGAGGATTAAGCTTTCCACATTCAAGGAACTAGCCAATCCCAAAGGCAAATATTTGCATGACATCAGAGGAAACAAGAAAGCCCCAGCCCTTCCTAATTTGGGGGTGCTTAGCTCCACGTTTGAGCCACATCAAGGCCAGCATTGATTGCAGAAGAACGGGGACAGAACGAAGAAGGTGGCAACCCTTCAAGTGAGGCGCAAGAAGCATAGAGAGGCCCTTCAGCCGTAGAGTGAGTCCCAGAAGGGCCTGGTTGGGGTCTCTGTGTGCAAGAGACTCTCACCTTTGTGGGTTTGTTCCGAACCTCATGGAGCAGCAGTTCTTCGGAGAGCACCAAAGTCCGGGCCGGATTGCAGAGGTCCAGTGGCTGGAAAGGAGAGGGAGATCAGTTGGACTTGGGAGAGAAACCCAGCCTAGAAGAGCACCAGCTCCTCGCCTACAAAGGACTGGAAGCCTCTGATAACCAGCCGGATCTTGCTAATGGAAAGCAAGCCGCACAGCAAATCGAAAACAAGAGGGAGGAGAGGGTTGAAGCAGTGGTGACAATGGCAGCACCGCGAAGGCCAAGGAAGGAGGACAGAAACGACAGACATCTCAGCCAGAGATCCAGTGGGTGCTTGGCTCCAGAAATGGGACCAAAAACCCATCAATGGGGGTCCTGATTTTGGGATGAGGGGGCATTTTGGATCATAGAGTTGGGGGAGACCCCGGGGGCCATCCAGTCCAACCTCATTGGAAGAGAACCCAACAGCAACAACAACAACAACATCCTAGAGTTGGAAGAGATCCCAATAGCAACAATATCCTAGAGTTGGAAGAGATCCCAACAACAACAATAACAATAGTAATAATATCCTACAGTTGGAAGAGATTCCAACAACAACAACAACAACAACAATAATATCCTAGAGTTGGAAGAGATCCCAACAACAACATCCTAGAGTTGGAAGAGATCCCAGCCTTAATGCAAAGGGTACTTGGGATAGCTAAGGCAGGGAGAGGGGGGAAAGTCATAAAAGAGACCCCAAGGGCCATCCAGTCCAACCCCCTGCCATGCAGGAAAAGTACAATCAAAGTACTCCCGACAGATGGCCATCTATCCTCTGCTTGAAAGCCACCAAAGAAGGAGACAGAGAATGAATGCTCTTCTTGATGTTCAGGTGGAATCTCCATCCCTGTCATTTGAGCCTATAGCTCCATTGAGACCTAGTCCCGAGGGCTCTTTCTTCCTTATGGCCTCTTTTCCTGAATCCCGCATGACACCCCCCCTCGCCTTCCTTCGTATTCCGCCCCCGTCTCACCTGCACGAAGATGGGGAAGACGAGCACCTTGGGAGCCAGGGTCACGTAGGTGCCGTAACTGGAGTGTGGGGCCAGGGGCCGGGCGCAGGGCGGGGGAGCAGCATGGCCCTTGATGGTCTGAACTGTCTTCATGAGTCTGGACTTCTTGCCATTGTGGCAGGCGGTGTTGCTGCCTGGAAGAAGGAGGAGCAAAGCAGGAGAAACAAATGAGGCTGGGGGGAGGCTCTTTGCTGCGTTGAGGTGGGGGCTCTCTTTACCCACTTGCTTCTCCTCTTCCATATGCCTCTTGCTTGTATCTCATTTGGGACCCAAAGCGGCAGAGAGGCAGCAACACAGAAGAGACCTTGACTCATAAAATGCATGTTTAGGATGGCAGCAAGAAGGGGTCTGCCCTATTCTTAGTGACAGGATACGCAGGGGACCCCAAAAACAAAGAATCCCATTATTATTATTATTATTATTATTATTATTATTATTATTAGCCGTCTCCTGCCACGCATTACTGTGGCCCACATGAGGGTTCTGTGTGGGAGGTTTAGCCCAATTCTATTGTTGGTGGGGTTCAGAATGCTCTGTGATTGTAGGTGAACTATAAATCCCAGCAACTACAACTCCCAAATGTCAAGATTCTATTTTCCCCAAACTCCACCAGTGTTCACATTTGGGCATATTGAGTATTTGTGTAGAGTTTGGTCCAGATCCATCATTGTGTCCACAGTGATCTCTGGATGTAGGTGAACTACAATTCCAAAACCAAAGGACACTGTCCACCAAACCCTGCCAGTATTTTCTGGCAGGGTTGGTCATGGGAGAACTGTGTGCCAAGTTTGGTTCAATTCCATTGTTGGTGGGGTTCTGAATTTATTTATTATTTATTTATTTGGTGCGCTTATATACCGCCAATATCTCAGCCTGTATGGCGACTCATTGCGGTTTACAGCATAATTAAAACTACAATATTACAATTTAATATAAAAATTACACTATAAAATACATACATATACATACATAGTATTGGGCCACCAATACAGTCCAGAACATCTCATTATTAACGTCAACAATCCAATTCGTCGTCCGAGGTTGCTAATCCATGAACAAACATCATCAAGTCAAGTTAGCCAAAAACTTGCTGGAACATCCAAGTTTTAAGTTTTTTCCGAAATGCCATTAGCGAGGTGGCTGATCTTATTTCCATAGGGAGGGCATTCCAAAGCCGGGGGGCCACCACAGAAAAGGCCCTATCTCTCGTACCCACGAGCCGCACCTGTGAAGCAGGTGGGATAGAGAGAAGGACCTCTCCTGAAGATCTTAGGGTCCTGGTGGGCTGATAGAGCGAGATGCGTTCGGATAGGTATGTAGGGCCAGAACCGTTTAGGGCTTTAAAGGTCAAAGCCAGCACTTTGAATTGGGCTCGGTAGCTAATCGGCAGCCAGTGGAGCTGGTACAGCAGAGGAGTTGTATGCTCCCTGCGCCCTGCTCCTGTTAAAACCATGGCTGCCGCCCGTTGGACTAGTTGGAGCTTCCGGGCCGTCTTCAGAGGCAACCCCACGTAGAGAGCGTTGCAGTAGTCAAGACGGGATGTAACCAGAGCGTGGACTACCGTGGCCAAGTCAGACTTCCCAAGGTACGGTCGCAGTTGGCGCACGAGTCTTAACTGTGCGAATGCTCCCCTGGTCACCGCCGAAACCTGGGGCTCCAGGCTCAGCGATGAGTCCAGGATCACACCCAAACTGCGAACCTGTGTCTTCAGGGGGAGTGCGACCCCGTCTAACACAGGCTGTAACCCTATACCCTGTTCGGCCTTGCGACTGACCAGGAGTACCTCTGTCTTGTCTGGATTCAATTTCAATTTGTTCGCCCCCATCCAGACCGTCACAGCGGCCAAGCACCGGTTCAGGACTTCGACAGCCTCCTTAGTAGCAGGTGGGAAGGAGTGACAGAGCTGGACATCATCTGCGTACAGATGACACCGTACCCCGAAACTCCGGATGATCTCGCCCAGTGGCTTCATGTAGATGTTGAACAGCATGGGGGACAGTATTGAACCCTGAGGAACCCCACAAAACAACGGTTGTGGGGTAGAACAGGAGTCCCCCAGTAACACCTTCTGAGACCGACCCTCGAGAAATGACCGGAGCCACTGCAGAACAGTACCTCCGAGACCCATTCCCGCGAGGCGTCCCAGAAGGATACCGTGGTCAACGGTATCGAAGGCCGCTGAGAGGTCGAGTAGCACCAACAGGGACACACTCCCCCTGTCGAGCTCCCGACGCAGATCATCCACTAAGGCGACCAAGGCTGTCTCGGTACCATGTCCCGGCCTGAAGCCAGACTGTGCCGGATCTAGATAATCCGTGTCTACCAAGAATGCCTGGAGTTGTGAGGCCACCACACGTTCCATGACTTTGCCCAAAAAGGGAAGATTGGAAACAGGCCGATAGTTTACCAATTGAGTGGGGTCCAGTGATGGTTTCTTCAACTGAACTATAAATTCCAGCAACTACAACTCCCAAATGACAAAATCATTTTTTTGATTGAAGAACATACATTGGATTGTTAGGTGACTTGTGTCCAAATTTGGTGTCAATTTGTCCAGTGGTTTTTGAGTTCTGTTAATCCCACAAACGAATATTACATTTTTATTTATATAGATTATTATTATTATTATTATTATTATTATTATTATTCGATACACAACAAGATGAATATACAGCAGACAAGATCACTTTGCTGGCTTTTGTATTGGATCACACGTCATACTCTTCTCAATTGTCTAGGACTGTGTGATATATGGGTGAACAGGATGGCCTTTTGCAGCTGACAGATGCTAATTTTCTCAGTGGCGATTGTTTTTAAGTGCAGGCCAAGGCCTTGAAGCACTGCACCCAGTGTGCCGATCCCCACAGGGACCACCTTTACTGGCTTGTGCCACAGTTGTTGCAGTTTGATCTTAAAATCCTCATCTAGTATCATCTTTCCCAGTTGCTTCTCATCAATCCTGCTGTCGCCTGGGATTGCAATATCGACGATCCATACTTGTTTTCCCCCCCATAATCATGAGGTCAGGAGTCTTGTGCTCCAAAATTTGGAAGTCCCAGAGTAGTTTGACGTGTTCATTTTCTGTAACTTTTTCAGGCTTATGATCCCATCTATTCTTTGTTGCAGGCAGATGGTATTTGTGGCACAAGTTCCAATGGATCATCTGAGCAATGGTATTATGCCTCTGCTTATAATCTGTCTGCGCGATCCTCTTGCAGCAGCTGAGGATGCGATCCGTCATTTTGCCTGCTTCCTTGAAGAGTCTACACTTGGAATCTGTAGTCAACTTTTTTAGTTCATTCTTTGATGGCATTTGTCCTTGGGCTGCAAGAATCAGGCCCTCCATCTTCTTTCTCAAAGTTCCACTCTGCGTGCCAAGTTTGGTCCACTTCCATCACTGGTGGAGTTCAGAGTGCTCATTGATTGCAGCTGAACTATAAATCCCAGTACCGCCTGAGTAGTGGGAGTCAAAGCTATTTGTGGAAGTGGGGGCTTGTCTGTGTAAGTGGATACCCCAGCCACATATACACATACATCTTCTGGAGAAGCCCTGCTCTCGGTCCCGCCTCCTTTGCAGATCCAGTTGGCGGGAACGAGAGACAGGGCCTTCTCAGTGGTGGCCCCTCGGCTATGCAACACCCTCCCTAGGGACATTAGTTTGGCCCCCTCCCTCCTAACATTTCGAAAGAGAGTTAAAACCTGGCTATTCGAGCAGGCATTTGCAGATGCAGCATAACTGATTGATTGAGATTCATGGAATGACAAGACAATGCGACGGAAAATGATTTTAATGATGAGACGCTGAGATTTGTATTTATGTTTTTAATTGTTAATTGTTTATTGTTTTACATGGTTATTTTATATGTAATTGTTTTGACTATATTTTTATCTTGTAGGGCATTGATTGCCAAATGTAAACCGCCTCGATTCTCCTTCAGGCTGAGAGGGGTGGTATACAAATATAGTAAATAAATAAATAAATATTTATTATGTGGATAGATAGATAGATAGATAGATAGAGACATAGACAGACAGACAGACAGACAGACGGATGGATGGATGTTTATCCCAAGGAACTTGTGCCGGGACAGGCAGTTCTCTCCCACATTGTATTTAAATCAACCCTGCAGAGTAGGTTGTAGCAAGAGGAAAAGGGCCAGGCTTCTTCAATGAGCTGCGTTGCATTACAATTATGATCATGTACCTCAGTCTGGGAAACCAAGGAAGGTCTGGTGGTGAAGGGTCAAGGGCCTGTGGAGCCTGGGGGTTGCATTGGGGGCCTTCTTCCTTCCCTCCACTCTGCATGTGCTGCTTCTCCAAAGCCTGGCCTGGCCATTGTTCCCCTGAGCGGCGCATGGAAGGGGCAGTGCGTGTTGACTTTGGAAGGGCCCTATCTCTCTCTGCAGCCCCACTTGGCTCAGGATGCGGGATTTGGGCACTGTCTGTGCTCCACTTCCAGGCCTCCAAGCCAGGGAGAACAGCATTGCTTGGGGGTCATAAGGGGAGCGGGGCACGGCCTGGCTGTCCCTCCCAGACATCTCTGCCTGCTGCTTCCCCCAAAATCTATGCTTCCAGAACATCTAATAAAAATGTAATGTTCGTTGGTGGGATTAATATAACTCAAAAGACATGGGACGAATAGACACCAAATTTGGACACAAGACACCTTTCAGGCCAACGAGTGACCATCACTCATAAAAACACTGAAAAACACAGCGGAAGAGACTTAAAAAGCCAAAGGAACAAAAATTACATTACAACGCATGCGCAAAACCATATATATATATATATATATATATATATATATATATATATATATATATGGTTTTGTGCATGCGTTGTAATGTAAACACGCAAACATGCATGCAAACACACAAATATACACACACATATATACACACAAAACACATATACACAGACTGGGCCACAGCAACGCGTGGCAGGGGACAGCTAGTAATGTTCATTTGTGTGATTAGCATAACTCAAAAACCACTGGACAAATTGACACCACATTTGGACACTATACCCCTAACAGATCAACGAGTGACCATCACTCATAACCCCTCCCACCAAAAAAAACAGCTGATAGGACTTAAAACCCCCCAAAAAAGCTAAACGATGGAAAGCTAAATGA